CCACCGCACGGCCCCTTCCGCCACTCTCCAAAATAAAAGTTCTTGTTTTTTTCTTTTGGATTTTTGTAATCAAATATGTCTTTTAACGGCTCTGTGCTCACTTCCTGTCGCATTTTGTCACTCATTTCCCCAATCCCTCTAATATTTTTGGGATTAATATTGCAGTTATTAAAACCCCAGCTCTTAGGGGCTTTAATTTTGAAGAAACACACCTAATTTCCGGTGTCGTCTCTGCGCAACTTGACGCAGCGCTCCTCCGCGCCCTGGCMCACACCAGAGCGCAGAGCAGCGTGGGTGGAAGGGGGGGAAAAGCACCCCACACCGCCGATTAAGCACGTGTTTATTTAGCTTTTAGACTTTAATCACGCGCAGCTTTAAATTACATCTCAGGAGCTCATTATTAACTGGAGCTGCTTCACGTGTCCGCGCGCGCTCCGGTTTGAGGCGCGGAGGCACGAGGGGCGACGCCTGCTGCTGCTGCTGGCATCTTTTTAAGCAACTTGTGTCATTTATTCACTTTCATCCCCTCAATTTAAAAAAAAGATTAAAACAAAATAAAAGAACCAGCAGAAAAATAGTTCTCACTAACTTTTACGCATCGTTGTCATTTATTCAAGTAACAGGATATTAGATTAAAAACCAGATTATTTTAATCCAAAACATAAACTAATTCTTTTCTGCGCTTATTGGAGTGATTCTGTTTGATGTTTGTTGCCTAAAAGCATCATTTTATTTGTGAAAAGTGACACAATGAAGCAGCTGGAGCCGGACACGCCCATATTCAGATGCAGAACCAGAAGCAGAACCATCACAGAAAACAAGGAGAAAAGAAGAAAAAAAACTGACAGAAAAGAAAAGAATCTGATTTCATGTTTTCTTACTTTTCTGTCAGTCACTTCCTCCCCCACAGCCTCCACCACCCCGGAGCACTCCATCCCCGGGGTGACCGGCGGGGACGGCAGCTGGTCGTAGAGCCCCTGTCTGGCCATCAGGTCCGCGAAGTTGAGCCCGCAGACTTTGACCCGGACCAGAACCTCTCCGGCTTTCAGCGCGGGCTTGCCCTTCTTCACCTGCAGCTTGACTTTATCGTAGCCTCCGTAGCCGGTGAGCACCAGGGCGCGGTAGCTGAACGTCTCCTCCTCGGGGGCCTTGTCGGCGGACGCAGCCGCCGGGGCGGCCGCTGCCTCGGCGGCGCCGGCGGGCTCCGGCTCCGTCTTGGGCGGCTCGGTTTTGGGCTCCTCGGCGGGCTTGGTCTCCTGCTTCTGGTCCACAGCGTTCTGCTGCTGGGCAGGTGCGTCTTCTCCAGACATTGTGGTGCAGGGCGCAGCGAGACTGGGACGGTTCTGAGAGAGAAAAAAGATACTTTCAGCTTCTTTTGTTTTCACTTGTTGTGAAGGATGCTGCGGCTCGGTTCGGTTCCTTGTTTCGCCTCGCGGGATGAGGAAAATCTGAGAGTCGGAACTTGGCTTTCAGCAGTCTTGCATGGAGACCCGAACCAGGACAAAGTGGGCTTGATGAGCGGACTCTGTGGCTGTCAGCGCCTGAGTGGGGCGAGACCGAGGAGGACTGGAAAACACGGAGAGCTGAGGAAGTTCTGGGATTGGCTCGAGTCTGGATGGATGGGAGGATCACCATCAGTCAGACAGGCAGTTTTAACAAAGCTTCAGATTCTTCTGGATCTAATTAAATAAAATATTATAATAAATAAACGAGGAGAAAGAAGAAGAATCAACGAACATCTGTATATAAAACGTTTAGTTGCGTTTTTATGGAAGTCTGTTTCTGCCTCTGATGTAAAATATCCCGCAAGTCATCATTTGCAGACGTCATCTCCTAATGATGACTTAGCAGTTTATTATTATAATAATACGGCTACAATCACACTTCAGGCAAACCCAAACTCTTTTTTTTTCATGTTTTTATGACACTCGAGCACCAAGTGTAAAAATAAATTATTAAAAAATGTCACTAATATTTTAATTATTTAGATTACTTTCTGAGTGTCAAATCGAAAACCCCACTAACATCT